CCTCAGATTGCGAATCGAGCGCCCTAACCACCTGGCCATGCCGGGCCGTGTATAAAGAATGGTAGGAAGGTTTCCTAAACATACAGTCAATAAATTAAACATTGAATTGCACCTGAAATGTCTGCGAGAAAATCTGATTTGACTGAAATGGAGTATTGAAACGAGACACTATGGAACTGTAGAATGACACATTGTATACAGTGAAGGTAGGAAATAAGACATAGTAACTTTACGTTTCCACAGATTATCTGAACAAAAAACAAATACTAATGCACAAGTTGTTCTATTTTTTTTTATGAAAAACATACATTACGAAATATTATGGTTTGTTTTGTATTTGTTACCTAAGACTAAATTTACGAGATTACAGTTCGTTAGGAGTTTGTTTGTAATAATAATAAAAAAAAAAGTTGGCTTAACTTGATTATACGTGATCTTACGTTTTTATTTAAATTCACTTTGCATCCGTTCTTTTGCATTCTCATAACATCGTCACATTACTGGTGTGTCTAACTGACAATGTACTTTGATGTTGCGTACTTTATATTAAAACGATTTTGAGCCTAACCATGTCGTTACAGTTCAAGTGCCCACGTCCACTAGTGCTCTATATGACGACTGTGCATCTTAACAATAACCTTGCAGCGTAGTTTCCATTACAAAATACCCTGTCGTTAAGATGTCATGTTCAAAACCCATTATGCCTCAATGCTATATTTCCATAATCCGTCTAATGTAAGAAAACGACGGTTCCCAGTGCCCGTTTCAACAGTCCGTTTTCAAAGAATTCCATAAGCGTTACATCCGACGACTTAACGTGTACGTTTCATTCTGCAGCTTCTATATAGATATGTTGTTGGAGCAATTTGTGTACAGCTGCCTGGGTCACGTGGATGGTTTTTGTCATTGACACAAGTGCTCGTGGATTCTCACCTGTTAAAAGAAGCCGCAATTTGCTTACTAGGGCGGGGATTTGACTTGTTGCAGGTCTTTTTCTGGATGGTCTTCGTGTACCAAGTTGATCCATATTTCGTTGTTTTCCATTACCATTAAGTACAAAGGAATATTCTCGTCTTGGAAATTCTGAACACCTCCATCGTACATATGTTTATAATCTGAGTGTATGATATCTTGCGTCGTAAACTATTATTACATACCTTTCCAAAAAGCGATCCATTTTTCGTGGCATCGCACTAGCTTCATAGCTCCAAACAATATCAAAAAATAATTTTCATACATTCCGTTCCACCGCAATTTTATATTAGCTGTGGTTGTCAAGTGGTTTGGTGATTTATATAGTCATATCGTTCTATATAATTTACTCAATCTTCTGTATATATATATTCTAAGATAATCTAGATATTCACGATGATTTGAGATAATGAAGAGAAAGACGGTGGCAAAAAGAATAAAGATGAATAGAATATTTGGAAGCTAGAAACATCTAAAACTAGTGGTATGTAATCAAAATGCTTACATGACCTCTGGCTACAGATTCCAGGAATACTTAAAGAAGTTCACATATTAGAAATAATGGAGAAATATGTTACCAAAATGAAAACTAATGATTTTCGTGAAGCCTTTGCGTGTCCAAATCTAATAACAAAAGGCTCATTTCCAGAAGATTGTCAAGAATACTATTCATTATATATATCGCTCACCGAAAACGAGTAGTTTGATTTAAAAATACAGCATTACGAACACATGAGGAAAGTTAAGGCACAGACAGAGGAACATCAAATGCGACAGACACACTTTCTTTCCTAATTTCTTCGGGAAAAAAAAAGTTTAAATATAAAGGCAACGACTGTAGTGCCACGCGCGCTTGGTGAATAACTGATTAGGATTACATTACTAAACGTGAATTGTAAATTGTCTTTTACATGTTCGGAATTAATCGTGATCTAAGATCAAAAGTCATGTATGTTGATAGACACAAAGCATGACGGGATTATGATCTTCAGTGATTATAGCCAATCTTTACACATTTTGTAGTTTGATGTTTAATTCATTACATTTGTCATACGGTCAAATATGATGGGATATGACCTTTACTGAGTAAGTACAGTCAATCATTACACATGATTTAATTTTAAAGGGAATACTTACAAACATATTTTCAAGAGCATACTTAGCTAGCCAACAATTGAGAAATACTGGTATGAAGAGGTTACGGAGAGGTGGCCAGGAAAGCTGTAAAACATATCAAGTTAAGTGAAATAACTTATGTTATGTAAACACACAACGATTAATATAACAACGATACGCGCACATCAGACATTGTTTATTTATTTGTTTGTAATTAAACACAAAGCTACGCAATGGGCTATCTGCGCTCTGCCCACTACGGGTATCGAAACACAGCGGTATGTCCGCGAACTTACAACGCTAGAATCCGGCCACTGGGGGGGGGAATATCAGACATTTTTATTTATTTGTTTGTAATTAAGCACAAAGCTACACAATGGGCTATCTGCGCTCTGCCCACCACGGGTATCGAAACCCGGATTCTATCGTTGTAAGTCCGCAGACATACCGCTGTGCTACTGGGGGCTTCCATTAGGAAACAATGAAATTGTAATATTTAATATCATATATTAAGTGAAAAAAAAAGCCGATAAGTGAAAAGTGAACATCCATAGAGACGTCTTGTACTCTAGGGTAGCTTAGTGATAGAGCACTGGGTCTGTAACTCAGAGATCATGGCTCTCAGTCCTAGTCCAAGAGTCTTTTTTTCAGTTGTCAGCTTTTTCACTTAAAATTCGGGGTTAAATGATATCTTAAAATGGTGGTCACCTCAGTTATACACAGTCATGTCTACATGGGTCGTTTGAGTCACAAGAGACATTAAAAACATGGCCATGAATTCATATGTTAGATCTTCAAGCCTGGTACATTAACTTGCAAGATCTAATGACGTTAATTAATTAATGTAAAACTATATTTTAAATGCAAAAACTCATGTAAAACAAATTTAGTTTAAACTTTATCAATAAACATGTTTACACAGTATCTGTATCTAATAATTTACCAGTTATTTTACAATTCTTTGAAAGGTTTAAGATTCGATTAATTCTCAATTAAATATTATTTCAAACTAGTATCATTAAACCATCATTCAAAGTCCATTTCTCTAGGAAAAAAGAAGCAGAAGAAGAAAAACAAAGAATGTTCTGACAGCGCCTCCATCTATAATTACCTTAATCACATTCGGAGATAAAAAAAAAAACACCACCTATTGGCTACTATTTTTATTACGTTCAAAATTTCTACAAGATTAACTCTTTGAGCTTGAAAAAAAAAGAATAAAAATACGAAATAAACCATTGGAAACATAAGATATTTCCTATAATAAGAACAGTGTGGAGAGTCTTCCAGTGAAGCTAAAATACCAGATTTGAAATATCAGAACTTGGTTATAGAGAAAGAACGAGAAATGACACGTTTTTATTCATACTGCTTCCTTTTGTTGTCATTTTGTTTTTAACTTTTTAAGTTCTACATCAGTCTAATTCAGTTTTAAATGGATCAGAGGAGATTCTTATAATGTTGATACGAATAGATGAAACTCCAAAAGCTTCAACATTTTATTGAAAATAAATGTGAAACAAAATGAGAACACTCACCGTAATGATAAAAGGTACATTATTTACTAGTTCCAAGATGAAATTAAAGCTCATTAATTGTTGCCAGATGTTACCCTGGAAAAAAAAATATTGCCACTATTAATTTTGACAAGATCTTACATTCCTACATATTAATTACGTTTCAAATATTCACAAAAACAAATCTTACGCATACATTTAGTGTACACTATTCACAAAATAAATCTTGTGCTTAATTAAAGTTAAACAAAAATACACAAACTCTGCGCATTAATCAAAGTTTAAAAATATACACACAAAACATTTTGCGCACATTTCCACAAACCTTACGCATTAATTAAGTTTCTAAAATCCATAAATCAAATTTTACACACTGATACATCTTTGAGAAGTCCACAAAACAGACATCACTGGAATGCTTTTAGAGTTTTGGCTTGAAAATTACTTTACATTATTAACAGACCGACGTAGCTTTTTTAGATTCTTTGCGTGTAAGATTAACTGTGTATATATTTTTTAATAACACTTCAAAAGTTCACCTACCTTATATCCTAAATAAGCTAACAATAAGGCCTCTGATAAGCATATCACCGAGAGGGCAACCTAGAAAATAAAACAAAAACAGGTCCTTTGTTAAGCTTAAAATTGAGTTACAAGATGCACGCTCAGCCTCACGTGCTTGGGTGATATTTAAATGGTGTAAAATATTTATCTCCAAGTCGGTTCAGAAATTGTCTTTTTGATGCCCTTTGTGGTCAAAAGTCAAGGTTCATAGGCCATAGATCCCGAAGAAAAATTATACTTATGCTTTAAAGCTGTTTACTATGTAAAGACAAACACACACCAAACACCATAAATCTTTTGACACAATAAACACAAGAGGTTGAACTGAACAAAACTTAAAAAACAAACAAAGAACTACAAATTAACCAACACGTTTTACCTGAATGCCCCATAATGGCAAGGGACGGTCAACCCATAATATGGCCACCCTGAAAAAAAATGAAAGTAAATATAATAAAGTCACAGAAATCTTTGAGTTTTTAGATGTACAAGCATTATACGTACTCTTCGTTTCCGAAAGAGCATAAAACGTGTGAATGTATTTATCTAAACCCTACACCTAGCTGTTTGCTATAGCAATTTCACAATAAAGAGCCACGGGCTAACTGGGCTGATGAGAGGTGACGTTGCACTTCTCAGATGGCCATGGTTGTTGCCTAAAGTGAGTTCATGTAGCCTTACATCAAAATAATTCCAACGAAAATTGTAGTTTTATAAATTCGTGGTTTATAACCTGAATATTCTACCTTTAAGGAAATGATTTGTGAGCGCTCACTGGGTAAGGCAAGATTTAAATTCAATTATTTTTTTTAGTTATTTTCAAATGGTAACAAACATATAAGTTACAACCAAACTTCCCTTACGTTAGACTCCAATGACTCAAACTTTCCTTTCGCTAGTCCGCGGTGGAATAGGGAAAAGTCTTCGGACTTGCAACTCTAAAATCCAGCTTTCGATTCCCGCGCGGTGGACAGAGTGCATATAGCCTTTTGTTAGCTTTCACTAAAACAAACTCTTAAGCTAAGCCATCCCATGCAGAAGAGTTTAGAAACTGAAATGTTTTATAAGCTGTTAATTTCACTTCAATTTACACTCCTTAGCGTTTACTTATAAAAGGTTTTTATATTGTTGTTGTTTTTAGAGCAAAGCTATATTGGGCTGTCTGCCATGTCCACAACGAGGAATCGAAACTCGGATTTTAGCATTGTAAACCCGCAAACTTATCTCTGTCCCACCGGGAAGTTCCCGGCATGGTCAGGTGGTTAGGGTGCTCGACTCGCAATCTACGGGTTCGAATCCCCCCGTCCCACCAAACATGCTCGCCCTTTCAGCCGTGGGGGCGTTATAATGTGACGGTCAATCCCACTATTCGTTGGTAAAAAGAGTAGCCCAAGAGTTGGCGGTGGGTGGTGATGACTAGCTGCCTTCCCTCTAGTCTTTCATTGCTAAATTAGGGACGGCTAGCGCAGATAGCCCTCGTGTAGCTTTGCGCGAAATTCAAAACAAACAAACAAACAAATCCACTGGGAAACATTATAAAAGGAATAACTGTAAGTGCTCGTGGGTTATAGAGATTGTTAGGGTTCAGGCTTAGCCGTCCATATTTTTGTACTTCTGTGGTAACTTAGAAAATAAAACGTTTTGCTTAAATTTAAAATATTCTGCCATCTGTTTTTTCTCTCTTTCTAACAATAAATTATTGAGGAATAGTGAAAGGTATTATAAAATGTCGTGATTATAAACACAAAAATTTATAGTATGGTGCTGTGTAGCGCCCTCTGCATAAGCTCCAATATATGAAAAATCCAACGGTCAGTACTATCGGTATGCCAATAGAAAAACATGGCGACAAGTACTGTTTCCTGTTGTTGTTGTTTTTTAACTGTGATTTTTAACAATGTATGTCTATATTTTCTCAATTAATATATTCTGATACATTATTTTTCAGCTAGTCATTTGGTGCGACAAAAGTCATTTATATATTTTTATAAATAGCCACCTAGTGACAATGTTGCTTATCTGGTGACAATATTATTGTACCCTTAAAGACTGCAAACAATTTTCCTAAGAGTTTACAGTAACTAAACATTAATCTGTTTTGTTTTCGAATTTTGCACAAAACTACTCAAGGGCTATCCGTCTCTAATTCAGAAGTGATAGACTAGAGAGACGGCAGTTATTAAAAAAACACACACCGCCAACTCCTGGGATACATTTTACCAACGAATACTGTCACATTATAACACCACCATGGCTGACAGGGTGAGCATGTTGCGGTGACGAGATTCGAGCTCACGACCCTCAGAGTGCCCTAACAACCAGGCCTTAAACATTGGTCATAAAAGTCAATTACTCCGATACAAATCCAGCCTAGGAATGTGCTACTGGATCCAAAGTTAATCACCTATTTAAAACACGAAGAAACTAATCAACAATATTTAAAGTTAACATAGATAACGTACCAGTTAACATGGCCGTTCGGTCTCGTATTGAAGTCGTGAGAAACTTCACCCTCGCTTGTAATGTTCGCCTCAGGACAGCCATAGCTTAAATGAAAAAAAAAAAAAATCCATATAATAAATCAAGTAAATTTTGATAATCCCATTTTTTTTTAGAGCACGTTCATGTTTTTGTCCGTAAAGTGTGTGCTTATATTTTTTATAACATTATTGTAACGCAAAGATAATAATAGAAGTTTACGTTTGAAGCTTTTAAAGAAAACACAAAATATCATTTTTTTTTCTCTTTTATTAAACACTTCTTTATGCTGGAGAAAGAGTTTTCCAGTTTAGATTACCATTATAAAGATTATTTGTTTGTGTGTATTCATCATTATACAACCTGGAAGTCAATTTCATATACTTGTTTTAAAGCCATAAATTTCTATTATAATTATTATTTACTTGTTATCTTTTAGAGCAAAGCCACATTGGGCTCTCTTTTGTGTACATTGCGGGGAATTGAACCCCGGATTTTAGCGTTGTAAGCCTTTAAACTTACCGTTGTCCAACCGCAGGACAGCAGTTATTATCAAACATAATTTTATTCTTACTAACAACTTATTCTACTAATAAACACCCCCCTGGCGGCTCAGCGGTAAGTCTGCAGGCTTACGAACGCTAAAAATCGGATTTCGATACCCGTTGCGGGCAGAGCACAGACAACTTAAAGTATAGCTTCGTGCTTATCAACAGCCAAATCAAAACATACAATTAGATGCATGTCGAATAAGTAAAATTAAACCGGGTTTCCCCCATGCATACTTACTTACAAGGTGTAAAATTGTTTAAACAAATAAATACACATATATATGTATACGAAAATAAAACAAAACAATAAACAAAAATTTTTACAAGGATATTTATAGAAACATACAAGTTTATATTCATAACAAGAGCTCACTACTGTTCTTTTTAATGAAAGTTTTTATTATATGCTTTCTCCCAAACAATCTAACTTATATCAGAAATACCATCGGTGTGTTCGTTAATAGCAAGAAAATGTAAAGAAAATTCGTTGTATCCAATATCGACTGGAAAATCTAATCAACACTCCACTTCGGCTCACCATCTCTAATTCAAATACGCGCAGAAGAAAAACAAACGCGTCTACTTGTGTTCGAGAAGTAATAAATACCTTAATTAGAATATTTTAACCCTGTCTTTGATGAATACGTTGATTTTCGTGAAGCCTAGAGCTAATGAAAAACACAAAAAGAAACTCAGTTCAGTATCAGATGACCGAGTAATGTATTCAAAGAAATGCCGAAGTTAACATAAAGTACTAATAAGTTAGAACTGCATTATAATATACTCCATTTAATCCTGTTTTTTTTCCCAATACGATTCTTTGTTATGAGGTTTATTTAAAAAATATATGTTAGAAATCTTCTTTTCATGTTTTTCGTCAATACTGTTTTATTGGGGGAGAATTCATTTTGATTTTATTTTATGGGAGCTTGAGGCTATACAGAAGAAAATATGTCGAGGATTAGGGAAGTATCTTTAGATTACAACTATCAGCTTAGGGGCTCCTGCGGCGAGTATACTTGAGTTTGGAGTTAAGAGTATTACCATGGCGACATTCTCTACAATATCAAATCCGTGATATTTCCTGAAACACAGCATCCAGTAATCAGCTAGCCCACGGTATATTCTTATCGCTTACTTTGAAGCGTTGCTGAAGGCTTAGTAAGAGAATGTAGTAATGTGTCTGTTTGTTGTTAAACGCAAAGTTGCACAATGAGTTATCCGTGCTGTGTTCATCACGAGTATCGAAACCCGGTTTTTACTAGTATGAGCCCTGAGAGTTATCGTCGAGGGTGGGGAGGGGAGGAAATCTAGCAAGCTGGTACTGAACTTGTAAGATAAGGAGAAGAAAGGTTTCAGAATTTTCGCCCAAAGCTGCACAGAACTGTCCCAAATTAAGAGTTGTCTGGTTTTGAACCGAGTAACAAGACTAACTGTTACTCTTATCACGGCACCCACAAGTGAAGATGTATGATGGAGGCTCAAACCGTGAACAATTCGGCCTGGCACGTTTATCGCCAGGTCACGTCCAACCCGTGAAGAAAAGAAAAAGGTTCATAAACTGAGTAAAAATCATGTTTAATGAATAAAATAAGAGTTGTTTAAGTGGAACTATAGGCAGAATAGATCATATAATTTGAGATCTTTAAAGGACTACGACAGCCTGTTAAATGAAGAAGAGACGACGTTTCGGCTTATATACTTTGGCCTTCTTTACAAGCTGAAACGTCGTTTCCTTTTCATTCAAGAGGCAGTTGCAGTCCATTAAAGTTCTCAAAAAAAAATTTTTAAGCCAAAATAATGATATGTTTATATTTTTTAAATAGCATATGAAAATATTAAAGCAGTGCATATTGGTGATAAAAATGGCCACCGAGAGGTTTAAATCTGTATTCTATATAAAGAACCAGAAATTTTTTTATTTAATGTATGAGTTAATCCTTAAAGAAAAATTCAGATATCAAAAATAGAAAAGATATAAAAAATGTATTAAAGATGGACAATTTTCGGACAAAGGTCATCTTTCTAATTTTTAAAAAATTATGTATTGTACCTCTAGAAAAAAAAATTGTTGAAATATACACCTCAACAGAATTAGGTTCTTTATAACTTTCAACTATGGTATGTTAAACACCAAAATATGTTAGTTAAACTGGGTTAGCACAGGAAATAATTGTCAATATTACTATAACTCATTTTTTCTCAAACTTTTCTTGAACAAGGTCATGTTGAAAAAAAAACAACGTTTCAACGTGTTGGCCCGATTATAGGGCGATCTCGAATATAAGGCGGTCCCCATTTTCAGAAACCACGGGAAAGAAAAAATTAAGTGTCATAACGTCCTTGATCGAACATCTGGAGCGCATGGGTAGACAGACGGATGCTATAAGGACATTCATGAATGCGACAGGATAGAGTAGGCGAAGAGGCCTGTGGTCGGCCGCGATTATAAGGTGACTCTAATTTTTTTAATCTAATTATTAATCAAAAAAACATCGTCTTATAATCGGGCCAATGCGGTACTTTGAAAGCCAAAAGATGTTTCGGATCATAAAAAGATACAGAACAACATCTAATTTGTATATTTTACCAGCTGAAAAATATTACTATCCAATTGTGTGTGTGTGTGTGTGTGTATACAAAACTACATAAAAGATATCTGTGCATATCTTTAATTTCCAACTGATTAACAAGGGAGAGGGCAGTTACTCAACAGTATTTACCGCAAACTCATGGGCTACTTTTGTCTGATCGAATAATAACAATCTTTTTACTCTTACAATGCACCCATGCTCCCAAAGTGCAAGGCGCATTTTTGCAGCAATAAGTTACGAGCCACGAACCTAGGTTCACAATCGACTCACAACCTACTTAAAAGCTTTTTTTTTTTACTCACCAGTAAATGAAAACCATAAAAGAATGACTATATACATAAAAAACAGGGTACGATATTGAGATTAACTCATAAATGTGTACGTTCCCCGATGGGATAGCGGTAAATCTACGGACATACAACGCTAACAACCGGAGTTCGATTCCCCACAGTGGACAGAGCAGATAGTTCAATGTGGCTTTACTCTAAAACAAACAAACCATTTAAAACATATCACATTTGATGAAAGTATCGAAATGTCGTGTAGAAATACTCAACAGCTTGGAATTCTTGCACTACTTAATTGATCTTAAGCCTAACTCAACTAATGAAACAGACTGGAAAAAACAAAACACCAATAAACTATTGGAATTCACCCTCTCGATAATGAAGTAACTGATAAACTGAAAAAGAATTCCGCCATTAAATTTCATAGCCATTACTAACTAAAGTGTTTATTGTTTGGAAGATTGTTAGATGTATGTATATTTACTTTTGTAAAAAGATAGTTAGAAACCGAAGTGGTGAAGCGCGTAAATAATTCGTTTGTTGTGTAATGTAATCTGAAAATGTACCATTAATGTAATGCTAATTACTATTATGTTTAAACATGTATCTTAGGAGCAAATAACACCCAAAGGTACAGAAGAGTGGACGGTAATTGTACCAATTAAGATTCAGAGAGGCGATAAATATACTTTAAAATTAGTAATTCCTCTCTTTATTGCCCCCCTCCCAGTGGCACAGCGGGAAGTCTAAAAGCTTATAGCGCTAAAAACCGGGCTTCGATACCTGTGGTGGGCACTGCACGGATAGCCCATTGACGTGCTTAACATCAAACAAGCAAATAAACCTTTTAAGGGTGAAACGTGTTGAGTCTGATTATTCGTTGTTTACATGTTCTGTGCTATAAGTTAATAAAACATCTATAAAATTACACTTACGTAAACATATTAAATCAATCAAGAAATAAAATCAGTGAAACTTTTTTCTCGTTTACCGAACAATTCAATATATATGTTTGAAGAAATAAAATATTTCGATATTTTAAAGGCTAGAAGTTACATCGTTTTTAGCATGGAATTTTTATTTTCAAAGACCTCGTTCTATAGGGAGTAGTCATTGATATTTGGTTAACGTTGTATGATGCGGGGCTGATAACGAACATAAAATTCAGTTCTAGAAATTGTCACGCAAAGGGATTTCTGAAAAATAAAATTATTCCACATTTATATAACAGTAAAGAATGTTAACACGTCTTTCACAATATGATGTAAATTTTATATTTGATCACATAGGAGGAAATGCTTGAGAACTGTTACAAATGTGTGCGTGTAGTTTGTTTGTCTGTTTTTAATTAAGCACGAAGCTATACAATGGGCTGTCTGTGCTCTGCCCACCACGGGTATCGATACCCAGATTCTAGCGTTGTAAATCCGCAGACATACCGCTGTGCCACTGGAGGGATTGCGTGTAGTTATGGAACACGTGCTTTTATTAGCTAGTTATTTACGTGTAATTCCAGAATGATGTCCATTTCATTAAAAACTAAACTTACCAAGTGGCTTTTAGAGGCCCACTGTCCAAAACGACGCGAATAACATACAGAACACAAAGTACAATCTTGATCACTAGATTGAAGATCCTGATCCTTAAACCTAAAAACAAAAACAAAATTAGTTACCAGTTTCTTAACTTCGTTAGAAAAAATTATTAACTGTATATTTTAATAATAAATAAATAAATCTTAAATATTTAATACACCGAAATCCTAGAAACAAGAGAGGTTTTTTTTAACCGAACTAATCACCAAGTTAACCTCGTTTTTCAATTTACAAAGAATTAAAAAAACTACAAATCTTGAATGAACAGAGGTGGAGTAAACATCATCGGTCTAAGTACGGCGTTATCACTAGTCTAAGTACGGCGTTATCATCGGTCTAAGTACGGCGTTATCATCGATCTGAGTACGGCGTTATCATTGGTCTAAGTACGGCGTTAAATTCGTGAATAAAGTCTAGGAGGACTAATTACAACAAAAGCACAGATAGAAAAGGACGACGTTTCGAAGGACTTCCATCGTCTCTTCCATCTGTGCTGCTTCGTAGATTAGTCCTCCAGTACCTACTCCACCGGTGTCACAATGGCTAAACAGTTGTTACCCGTTTCACCTTTGTTTTTCTTCACTAATAATCTGCCTAAGTCATATATATATCGTTATTGATACACCCATATTCGCACGTATGTACATGTATATATAGCCGCTGTAGATTTGCTTATCTAGCTTTTTCAAGTATTTTATATTTCTTATTAGGAAATGTACTTCTTGATCTACACTGGTTAATCTCGAATGTTGATTTAATTACTTACCTGATTGTTGATTTAGTTACTTACCTGATTGTTGATTTAGTTACTTACTTGATTGTTGATTTAATTACTTACCTGATTGTTGATTTAGTTACTTACCTGATTGTTGATTTAGTTACTTACCTGATTGTTGATTTAGTTACTTACCTGATTGTTGATTTAGTTACTTACTTGATTGTTGATTTAGTTACTTATTTAGTTACTTACTTGATTGTTGATTGAGTTACTTACCTGATTGTTGATTTAGTTACTTACTTGATTGTTGATTTAGTTACTTACTTGATTGTTGATTTAGTTACTTACTTGATTGTTGATTGAGTTATTTACCTGATTGTTGATTTAGTAACTTACCTGATTGTTGATTTAGTAACTTACCTGATTGTTGATTTAGTT